AGACCTTTTCACTGGAAGCAATATTATGGATAGAGAGGATTCATATTTACACTGAATGCAACAAACACACAGCTTTTCACTTCACTAGACATTAATTGATGGACTGGAGTCACGTGGATTACTAAAGGTGAGTACATTTTCAGCGATTTTTCATTTTGGGGTGAACTATTCTTGTAATATTTCCATAAGAATCATACTTGAACCCTTACCAAGCTGAACAATTCTAAAAATCCATGTTCTTTCTTTTTCTTTTTTCACTTTTAATTTAGCACGAAAACACACTGACAATTCCTTTAGTGCGATGTTGGGCCTTTGCTTAACAGAAGTTAAAATGTACTTTTCTTGTTGTTGAAGAAAGTCTTAGATCCTACTTGGACCTACTTCACTGAAGGCTCAAGTCTGCTGGGAGGCAACATCTCTGTTCAATTCTCAGAGCATGCTTTAACTCACAGGTTCTTCCATTAGAACTGATTGGAAGCATGAGGTAAAGGACGGCCCCTACCTTTTACGTCCCAGTGTGATGTCTGAAATGATGGAGCTTATGAAGGATGCAGCAGGATCTAGACTTCAGCAGTAATTCCCTTCAAGAAAACGGCATGCTGCTTAGGTGAATGCTGATTTCTTACCTTCTCAGCCACGATGACACTGTAATGGAGTATATGTCAAGCGGTTCTGGCTATATTAATGACAGAGGATTTATATTTACAGGGTTAGAGGTTTAGAACAAACCCTGAATCAATCAATAAAGCACTGCAATAACAAGCTTTCAAGTACAGTACAATGCGCAGGCTATCAGTGTGAACACTGTTTACTTTCACCATGTTCTACAACAAGCCTAAGCTGACAATATCCATCTAGACAAAATCAACAGCTTTTATTTAAGCCTGATCTTCTTTCCCCTTTTCCCCCCAGAGAGATAATAAGGAGGCATTAGGAAAAAGTACACGATCACCTCATCTGTACACACTGAGGTGTGAGGTGGGCAGATGTGACATCGTTACGGAGAGACAACCTTGCCTTATCAACATCAGATAAGTCATCTTATGCCCCTGAGAGGCAAGTCAGAGGAGTAGCTTAATTGGTGAACTCTGACTTGACTGTAACACTAGACTACCACATTGTATTTGCAGCAGAGAGTTATTAAAAATGTGTGGGGGTTGATAGTCTGAACATCACAAACAAGAACAGATTAGAAAAGGCCAACTCGCTGCTAAAATGTACCACTGTGCAGGTTACAGTGAAATTAAATTAAGAAATTAAACTTGAACTAAAGAAATACTTCACATGCAGGTTTTGTTTAGGATTTTTAAAATGCATTATTCTGTTTACTATTGCAAAATTTACACGGTAAAGGTAACACAGAAGCGCTTCTGCACTAAAAAATAAAGGTGCTTCACGATGCCATAGAAGAACCTTTTTTGTCTAAATGGTTGTCTAAAAGGTTCTTCAGATTATAAAAAGGTAAGAAAGAGATGGTTCTTTAAAGAACCTTTGACTGAATGGTTCTTTGTGGAACCAAAAATGGTTCTTCTGTGGCATCGCTCTGAAGAACCTTTTAAGCACCTTTATTTTTAAGAGTGTGAAGTGGCATTTAGGTGTCATTACATAGATTGTTCTATGCTGCTTAGAGGTGGCATTAATGCATTTACACTGCAATTACAACTGTATATTTTAATAGGGGCTGAGGTGGCTCAGAGCAGTCTTAATTTAGTCTGGCTTTTATGCAACATTGCATCTGCACACTGAATTTTGAGCAGGCACAGAGCAGCCTTAACTCGACTGCGTAAAGAAGCCTTTAATCATTTTATGTCCAGTGATGCATTTAAAAAAAAATTTTTTTTTTAAACTTTTAATAGAAATAAAGCTGAAATAAAATATGTCTATTAGATGGAAAACCCAAACTTAAAAAAACAAACAAATGAAAATTAGACATGTTGCTTTGGCAACTAACTGAAAAAAGGTTTATTTAAAGTACTAAAATGACTAAAACAGAAATAAAAAGAAAGATAAAAAAAATAATAAAAATGACAAAAGCGCATAGCAAAATTACTAAAAAACAACAACATTATAATAGTATATATAATATAGTTTTTACAGTTTATAATATTATTTAGTTTATATCAAAATAACACTGCAGTGATGTATTCTATTATGTTTTATTGTTGAAACTGGCATACAAAAATGTATTATCCAGGAAAGGTTTTATGTTATGACATGTTACAGGGTCATCCAATACACTTTCGTCTCATGTAATGTTCATCTTGTCCCACATTACATGAGAGTTAAGAAACAGGAAATTAATAAAGAAATCACATTTTTATGATCTCAAGTCATTACAATTTGTTCAACCACCAACCCCCTCCTCCACTGCAGATTCTACCCAGCAACATATTCTTACTGGTAGTCTCTACCATTAGTAGTGCAGACTTTTGTCTTTATTTACTGACCTTTATGTCATTATATATATTTTTTTTATATATTTTTTTTTATTTTGTGAACCACAACAGGAGATACCTTTCTCCAAGTTTCTGTTTTCCATACAACTATACTGCATTTTGATTTATATCATCACACGTGCAATTGAGATCTAAGTGCTCTTGCAAACAGAAGGTGAGTAAATGATGACAGAATTTTCATTTTGGGTTGGACTAACTCATCTAAAGGAAGAGATTTCTTTCAGGACACATTATCTTTATTCTTTTTCTGACTGCCTTGGTTTTCCATTGACTATCATGTCCGTTCTGTGTTAAAAGCTCAGATCAGTGTTTGGCTCCTGTTGAAGAGCTGAACTGTTGACCGGCAATAGGACACATGGGAAGAATAAGCATGGAGAGCAGTGGAGCATCATCATCATCCTCAGTAGAGAGCCAAAATTGATTTTGCCACTCCACAGCTGTCCTCTCTGCATACAGCAATCAGTTTGACTGCAGAGTGCCTCTTCAAGAAGAACCCTAAGTATATGGTTCATGGGCACCAAAGTCTCCTGCACAATTACATAGTGCACGGAGAGACTTTTGACACCCATGAAGGACACTGAAATGAACATATTCAAATTCACTGACCTGTTTCTTCTTGTAATATTACTAAAAAAGAAACTACTTGCCAGAATGGCAACAGCAGGTGCTTTACAGAGAAGAGGTCCTTAGAAATAGATGCCCTCATACTCTTTTTAACACATGAGCAGCGTCATGGGAAGTATAAAATAACCACAAATCAGGTTAAATAGTGATTGTACAATAAATACTTGCGTCAGTCGTTAAATGAGGCTGCAATACTGGGCTTTTTCCACTGATGGAGCAAATCAGAGCGCACATATTACCCACAAACTCTCTAAGCAACAGCTGAGCTTAAAGCAGCTACACGCGAGAACCAGCCAACTGGCACATTCCCAGTAAAGCCAGATGCAGGGAGAAGCAAGATAAGTGGATGTTCTTGTGCGGATCTGTTTCCTAACAGCTTGAGAGATGATTCTACTGTTTACATTCTGCTGCTTGGAAAGACCAACCTGTATTTTTCACTGCGGATTTACTTGTGAACAAATGTTTATTTATTCATTGTTAATTCTTTGTAAGCATTTTTGGCTCAACCTAAGACAAAATACATTTGGGTCTCACTGCCAATATATTGATAAGAAACATTCAAAGCATTTTCTTTAAAATTCATAACATAAACATAACATAAAATCACACAAACCTATAGGACAAAGAGGTAGTGGTACAGATAAATGTGAGGCAAACTCAACCATTTTTCTGTTTAGTTGTTGAACAGAAGCAAACAGTTTTAAGAAATTTGCTATATGGGTCAATGGTCATTGCATTTCCTATTTATTAATTCATTCAAAATACATACGAAATGCAGTCTTTCATACATTTTATGAATATACACTACCATTCAAAGTTTGGGGTCGGTAGAAAGATAGAAATAAAAACATTTTCCACAAAAATGTTAAGCGGTAAAATTGTTTATACCATAGATAATAATGAGGAATGCTTCTGGAGCACCAAATCAGCCTAGCAAAAATATTTCTGAAGGATTGTGTGACACTAAAAACTGAAGTAATGGCTGCTGAAAATTCAGATTTGCCATCACAGGAATAAATTACATTTGAATATATATTACGATAGAAAACAGTTCTTTTAAATTGTAATAATATTTGACAATATTGCTGTTTTAACTGTATTTTGGATTAAATATATGCCTGTTTCTTTCAAAAACATGAAAAAAAAATCTTACTGACCCCAAACTTTTAGTTTAACTCTCCAATTAAGAGCTTGTTAATTTATGAATTAAAATACATTTTTTATATTTTGTGATATTTAAATATTATTCTTTTATTTCTGTTTTTACTAATATTTTAATAAAATGGATTCACTGCCTACATGAATATTTAATATTAAAATACTTGATATACTAACAAAACCACATGATGCAGCCAACATATATTATAAAAATTCCAAAAAAATACATACACACAAGAAAGCATGTTTTACAAAACCATATGACCACATGTGCTTTAAACTAGGTTTTTAAAAGATTTTTTTACATCATAGACGCTCTTGACTCATACATCAGATCCTGTAGACGTTAACCCTAAAGGAGCCGAGAACATAAATTCTAAAAATGTTCAAATATGATCAAATTGTTATAAATGTTCGCTGTGAACAACTTTGGCACTGTCCTCTGATAATTGAATCTGCTCGTACCTCCGGAAAACCCTACCATGATTCACAGTCAGAAAACACACAGCCACCACTGCACAGTGACGAAAGCTGCCAACACTGACAAAACACAGACGCAAGAGAGACTTTCATTTTAAACATCGGTCACTGTCCTCACCAAGAACACAAAAAGCACTGCTTCCTCTCTACCTGACAATCTGCGCCTATATGATAACTTTTGTTATGTAATCACAGCTCAAATGCTGTTAAAAGCCACCGGAACAGAAGAGTTTTATACTTTGGTAGAGCGCTGATTTGACAGTAGGTGAGAGTGTAAGTGGATTATGTCACATTAAATGTCATGAAGGCACTCGTCATCATCTTCTTGCTACTTTTGCTCCAGAGACGACCCCGGTTTGACCCGTCGCTATGATTGGATCCTTCGCATGAAGCAGCTTCCATCAGGCTCACTGTCTGTGCCGGCTGCACGGTGTGGATCCGCTTTACGACCCGATTACGAAACGCGCAGCCAAACACCTTCTTGAAGCCCTTTCGAAAGTGTTTAGACACCAGGGCGTAGACGATGGGGTTCAGGCAGGAGTTGGTGTACGCCACCAGGTGAGAGAGAATGCGGAGGACGTAGGTCGTGTGGTTGAGCGGGAAGTGGCCGAACCACATGCACAAGATAACCAGGTGATGTGGCAGCCAACATAAACAGAAGAGCGCAGCAACGATGATTATCATCTTGGACACCTTGCGCTTGGCCTTGCGGGATTCCGACATGTCCTGCATGGGGTCCACTGAGGTCCAGAGGTAGCGGATGGTGCGGGCGTACGTGATGCCGAGAATGAGGACTGGGATCAGGTAGCCGAATATGAAGGTGCAGACGTCCATGGCTCGACGATGATGGGTGTTCCATGCTGGGATGCAAACGGTGGTCCCGTCTAGATCCATCTGCTGGTAGTAGCTGAGATAAGGGCTGGAGAAGAACAGCGATACAGCCCACACAAGACTGATGGAGGTCAGAGCGTTACGAGGAGTTCTGGTCTCTCTTGAGCGCAGAGGATACCGAATGGCGAGATATCTGTAGGGAACATGCAAACATAATACCTCAATAATAATGATAAATTATTAAAGTTACACTCTTAAAAATAAAAGTGCTTTAAAGGTTCTTCTCAGCGATGCCATAGAAGAACCATTTTTGGTTCCACAAAGAACCATTCAGTCAAACGTTATTTTAAGAACCATCTCTTTCTTATCTTTTTAATAATCTGAAGAACCTTCTTTCGCCACAAAGAACCTTCTGTGAAACAGAAAGGTTCTTCAGATATTAAAGGTTCTTAATGGAACCATTTAGACAAAAAGGTTCTTCTATGGCATTGTGAAGCACCTTTATTCTCTTGCAGAAGAATATTGCTATGGTTGTGCTTCCCTCCGGGGGGAATAAAAAAACACCTGGTGGCTGGTTTTCCAGCATGGTCATAGCTAGTTTAGCAGGCTGGTTTTAGAGGGTTTTTGACCACTTTTTAGTTAGTCAAACTGGTCTTTATTGCTGGTCATGCTGAACACCAGCTTATTCACAGTATTCACAATAGGCGAAGAGTCCCTGGGTGATTTACTATTTCCGGTGAGATTCTGAAGTGCGTATCTGATGGGCAGTTTACTGTCGAGGCCACGGGAGAAGATTTATGAATGGCAGTGACGTGACACAACTGTTGCTGTAGTCACATGACAATGCCAAAATGAAGAACAAAGTACATTTGGATTACATTCATACTTTAAAGGACATACTTTTTTAAACGGTCTATTGTCAAAATGCATACATATAATACAGTATGCATAATGGGCATTCTTTAAATCCCCCCCCTCCCCTCTATGTGGAATAAAACAGGGTTTGGTTTGGCTGTATTATATATAATGCACTACATAATTGCTAGTGACAGTGTCGGGGAGTAACTAGTTACATGAAACGGAATTACGTAATTTACAAAATAAAAGTAACTAATCTGTTACAGCTACTGGAGAAAAAATGTGTAATTAAATTAGTTACTTATTAAAATTTTAGCAATTACAAAGGGGGTTACATCTGAATATTTTCACACACACACATTTGATTGATTTCTTTCCCAAATTGCATTGACTGCTCTAAAATACGAGACTCCAAAGTTTCGGGGGTTTAGGACAGAATAGGACACATGCTTATTTGATAACTGTTTTATTTCCTATTTGGGTTTATGTATATGCTTTATTTTTTAAGATTAACATTTTCTTTTTCAAGGCATTGTTAGATGCCAGTGTTTCCTGTCATAGTTATATAAAGATTTGTTTTCAAAAACAGTATCACAGCTATTAAGCTATATCTTGTTATGAATTTAAATCTGTATTTAAGCTCCCCCTGTATGAGTTTTTGTCTCATATTTATATCATACGATACGTTAGCCTATCACACCAGTGCTGACTTTGTCCCTAAAATCACGAGTTTAAATGTGATTTTATACAACAGTTCAGTAAATAATAAGTTGATATTTTGTTATATTTTAAACACAATATGTGTTTTTGCTCAATTTTGCAGAGAACATTGTTAGCACCTTTAAAGCCACAGCAGAATTGTTGTGCGTCTCTCCGAGCAACACAGCGTGTTTAGTTTCTGAATGAATCCGCGTTTTGAACGAATCGTGTGAATCAATGATTCAAAGATCCATTCACAGAGAGAGTCGTTTACTTCATTCCTGAATGAATCAGCCGTTTGAACGAATCGAATGAAGACATTTACCGCCACCTGCTGGCAGATTTAGTTCCTTAGTTAGAGCATAATTTCATTAAAAAAATATTTAAAAAAAACTTTGGGGATTTCACCAAAAAAATTAAAATTGTGTCATCATTTGCTCATCCTCATGTCGTTTCAAACCTTTCTTTTGTGGAACATAAAAGGTATTTTGAAAACTTTGTAACAAAGTTGTTTTATACCAATGACTTTCATTGCATGAACAAAAAATACCGAGATGTTTCTCGAATTATCTTCTTTTATGTTCCATAGTTTATGTTAGGCCGTTGTAGCCTAAATGTTTATGTGTAATAAATTTAATGTTGAATCAAATCAAATAATTTTTCTAAAGCTACAATTTGTAATGTCTACTTGATACTTTCTCATTTAACAAAAATAGCTTTAAATAATCTTTTGTGGGTATTTTCAGTCAAATTTATTTTGCGATTAATTAGATTAATTAATCGACACATCATGTAATTAATTAGATTAACAATTGTAATCGACTGACAGCCCTAATATATATATAAAGGCCTACAGTAGGATGGATGAATCCATGCAGCATCTGAATAGTTTAATCAGCAGCCATAGAAGAAACATGCATACATTTAGCCAAATCAAACTAATTTACAAATTTAATATTGTCAAATAGGATTTTTTTTCTTCTTCTGAGAAAAATGTTTATTATGGGAGACCTGAAAAAAAAAGAACAATTTAAATTTTAATATTTCACTACAGGAAATCTTCAGCTAAACAAATATTTGAGGAATTACAGTTGTTTTGGATGTCTAACATTCTTTCTTCTGATAATAAAAGTTTTTTCCTCCACTTGAATTTTAACATCTATTTTGTCTTTAAGTTGTTGGTTAAAATTTTAAATTAACAACAGATGTTTATATTATCATAAACATCTGTTGTTAATTTAACAACAGATGTTTATATTATCAACAGATGTTTATATTATCATATCTGAAGCTACGAGAATACTTTTTTGTGCGCAAAGAAAACAAAAATAACTTTATTCAACAAATAAACACTGTTATTCAACAGCGTGGTGCTGCTGAAAGAACGCAAAAAGTTCTCGTAGCTTCATAAAATACGGTTGAACCACTGATGTCACAAGGACTATATTAATGATGTCTTTACTACCTTTTTTGGTCTTGAACGTGGTAGTTGCATTGCTGTCTGAGGGTCAGAAAGCTCTCAGATTTCATCAAAAATATCTTAATTTGTGTTCTGAAGATGAACAAAAGTCTTACAAGTTTGGAACGACATGAGGGTGAGTAATTAATGACAGAATATTCATTTTTGGGTGAACTATCCCTTTAACAGGAGCAGTAGTAGCTCTCTGACTGTTACAAAATCTATAGCATTATGTTGAAGACTGGTCTCCAGGAGCATTATAATGAGCGTTCACACTCATGTCCACTCACAGTCATAATTTATCTACTGAACATTCCAGATCTGCATCTGACTACTTGTCATGGTGCTGTGGAGGTGCTACAGGGGTTTGTATCATGCTGCTTTACAAATACTTAGATCATCCCCATCAGCTCTCTCATGTACCTGCAACACATCACATGTCATTTAACACTGCTGATATCTAGTTCATGTAAACTATAGGATATAGCGAAGATATACAGTATGTGTACCAATACCAAGGTTTTACCTTTTGGGGTCAAGCGTGTTTTTAAGATGGTTGGAATGTTGTTTTGACTTATGAGAATCAAGGAACCAGAACAATTTGTTATATTTAAGAAATAAGGTAAAAGCTAAGCAATATTGTGAATATAATGTGGAACATTTACAACCCTTTTAGCCATGACTATATTCATAATTCAGCACTTTATTGCTTAAATACAATGGTTACTACATAATAAAAATATTAAGAACATACATTTTCATGAAAACAATTTGAAGTAAATTCAATAATTGAATCTTTCTGCTACAAAATAATGGAAACCTACCCTAGAGCCAAGGTTAATACGTAATATAAACTTTAGCTAATAAGTGTTTTGTGTTATAGCTCTTGTGTTTTCAGCACAACTGTAATACTGAATTTCATTACAAAATAATATAATAAATAACATGATATAGTGATATAGTATAAAGTGCCAAAGATGTGTTGTTTCAGTGGTACACTTTAATAAAAATACACTATTTAGTATTAAATATTTTAAAGAAAAAGTCTTAAATGTTCGCCCTCTAGAGGTAAATGAAGAGTATTTTTTTCTGACATGAAAGTTCATTGAGTACAACCCCTGTAAAACAGTGTGAGTGAATCACATTTGATATACTATATGCCTACCTTACACTTGCATGCTGTATAAATCGAACTATCTGTCTGTGATATTCTACCATGACATATAAACAATAATGCTCAGTCACATCCCACATGTCTATATGCTTTATAAGAGCCCAAAACACCATGTCACCAGTAAGTCACAAGACTCAAAGTCAAAGTCATTCTGACAGAAGCTAAATCTGTAGGTCTTGAACTCTGATTGCAACAGACAGAACTAATATCCAACAGTATCCCTTTCATCCGTCATTCATCTCACCCTGGACCCAGAGACCTGACCCAGTTCCCTCAGAAGAACCCCATTCAGCCAGTTCGCCCCTGTCTGAACCCCACCATCCTTACAGTGTGAGTCACGTTTTTCCACTGCTGCACATACACATACACTCATTACTAAGTTTAACCGCTGCTTTTTATACCGCTGGATATAGACTGAGCTTTGCCATTTGTTTCCTTCTAGATTTGGTTGCAATATAACAAGAATTTCAATTACCAGGAGCAACTGGAGAGAGGATGAATTTGATCAGGTGAGGGTTTAGAATTGTTATTTTATATATATATATATATATATATACTGTATTTCTCTACGCTTGTTATTGCATTACCCAGTCGCAGAAAACAAACTGAATCTAAGTGAACTTTCATCACAAATCTACGTATGTAGATTTTTTTCTTATAATGTAATGTCAGTGTTTGACCTTTGATTTGACCTCATGCAGCAATATGTATGCATTAGCATGTAAACACATGAGTGTACCACCAGAGGGCAGCACTATCACAAAAAAATGATAAAACTGTGGCACTGGAGCAACACAAAAATGATGCTTCTGCATTTTTAGGCTGCACAGAACTATCCACCTGCTGGTATATCTTACATACCGGCATTAACAAATGGAGAAGTTATCAATTCATAATGAAGTTCCCAAGCATCTAATGTTGCGTCAACACTTTATGGAGGACTACATATTTTATATAAATCAGAACTCTTCTTTAGAGTATTAACCAAAACAGAAGAAACATTTACATTCAACACACATTTTTGCTTATGGATTTTTTATGGTATTTAGGTATTAAGGTTAATTAATATTTTTTTATTCATATTTAAAAAATGAAACATGCCAAAACTATAATAATAATATCTATTAGTATTAATAGTTATGTATCTTTTTCATTGTTTAAATGATGTCATGACTCATTTTCAGTGACTAGTAATGTTGACGTAACATTAACAAATGTGGTGACAAAAACTCTCAAAGGTCCCTTGACACTGACGGTCCAGACTCTTGGCTGGTTGGTAACTACTTTTGACAGAAATGCCTGAAATATCTGAGAGCTGAAAGTGGCCTAGGATGCCTCTGTAATGACTTAACCTTCTGTTGGTGGGTCTCTGTAAAAATAATGACTACTGCTTTTGGAGTCAACTAAACAGCACTCCATTCATTCAGAGAAAGAGAAGAAAAACAGAGGAAAAGGAAATTTTTCCCTTCCTTTCCTCTG